CCCCCTGAGCGTGGACCCCAAACGGCCACTTGCCGCCGCTTGCTCCCCCACCAGGGCCCAGCTGAGTGGTGCGGGGGGCTCTGCTGCAGCCATGGAGTGAGGGGAAGGGGGGCAGGGTGCTGACGTACACGGCCAGGGGGCATGGCCGTGTACATCAGTGTTACAGATGCACAGACACTGGGCTACTATATATATGACAACTGACATTATTCCAAAATAACAAAGTCCTTGTCTACACTACAAGCAGCTATTTTGACATAATGTCGAAATAATCTTGAGCTGGAAGACTTCTTACTCTGGCTACTGTAACCATCATTTTATGAGGAGTAAAGGAAGTCAGAGGAAGAGTGCTCTGCCTCGTTACAGATGCACAGACACTGGGCTACTATATATATGACAACTGACATTATTCCAAAATAACAAAGTCCTTGTCTACACTACAAGCAGCTATTTTGACATAATGTCGAAATAATCTTGAGCTGGAAGACTTCTTACTCTGGCTACTGTAACCATCATTTTATGAGGAGTAAAGGAAGTCAGAGGAAGAGTGCTCTGCCTCAGACTTCCTGCTACGTAGACAGCGCCAAAATCCGAAATAAGCTATTTTGACTTAAGCTACACAATTGACATAGCATAAATTGCACAGCTTATTTCAGCTTTTGCCCTGCTGTAAATGTGCCCATGTTGTCCTAGTATTGTAGCACCTAAGTGGAGGGTAAAATCCTGAAAAAGGTAATAAAGCCGCTCCCCGAGTTATGATTGTTCTAGTAGTGTAGCACCTAAGTGGAGGGTCGAATCCTGAAAAAGGTAATAAAGCCGCTCCCCGAGTTATGACCATCTCCACTTATGACCATAAGCACTTACAACCAAAGCGGTCATAAATGCAGATCTGGGTTACGAACGGTGATCCGTGCTTACACACAGCGTGGTGGCCATGTAACTCTATGGGATCTGAGTTATGAACACTTCCAGTTACGGACCGAGTGTTGGTCCGTAACTTGTTTGTAACTCGGAGAGCGGCTGTAGAGGGTTACATCGGTTTAAAAGAAAAAATCACTGTGATTAAGCATCAGGCTAGAGAAAGTTCTTTGTGAAGGACTAAGGGAAAATGTCTTTTACTTTTGAAGAAAAATAGATATTTATAACTAAACTTTCATCTTCTGAATTTGAACTTACAAAACAAAAATGTCCATTCATAATGTCTACAAAACCAACATTCTTTGCGTGTTCAGTGGTTGCATACTCTTTTTGTGTATTTTCCAACTAGCTGCAGTACCTAACAAATGTGGCTTTATTGTTAATGTTTTTGAAAAAATAAATAATTGAACTCATTTATTTGCTAATTGGATTTCATTTGAAATCTTAAAGACTAGATAGAGGTAAATAAGAAAGCCACAAGAAAAAAATAAAACACTGTTGGGTTCCAGCACAGCGTTTTGTAGTAATCCCATTATTTACAGCCATGTTTTTCAGGAATGTGTGTCCTTAAATTATCAAGTGATTTTTTTTCTTGCTTATGATGTAATTCACTCTGTGGGGAAGCACTTTCATGGTTCCAGGTCATTGCTTTAGTCAGCATTCTGATTTTGTGTAATAAACAGTCTCCGAATGCAAAGCTTTGTTCTTGGCTGGCATGGGGGAGGGTTAGCACTATCAAGCTTTTTAAAAAAAATAAACCAGAGAGATTTAGTGGCTGATATCTAGTGGGTAAGGTGAAAAAAGGACTAGATAGTATCAAAAATTACAGCAGCTGCTTCAAGCAATTCAAATGAATAAAAATAAGAGATGTGGTGTAAAACCCTCCCAAAGAGCCCCACAAGGGAGGGGAAGTCAGAAGGTAAAAGCAGATTTTGGTTGCTGACACAGAATTCATTTGGAAGCCAGCCTTCAGTTAATATCCTTCATGTGCACAGGGAATGTTATTTAAGGAAAGCTTGTTGCCTTCCTGCCACCCTGCTGCTACCA